AATTTTCAAGGTCAATGAAAGCATGGATTTGGAAGACCCATAAGAACAGCACTAAATAATTCAACAATTTTTTTTCCTATTTGCAAAATGGAATGTTGAACAGAGGAGTCAAATTCCATTTTTCACACTGTCACAAGTTAGAACAAAATATTCTTTTGACTTGCAAACATATCTGCAAGATCAGTTTATCCTGTAAGTGTGATACAAGCTCTGAAAGGAGACAGAATTCTGGAAGTTCTTTTCATGTGAGAAAGAGGGAGGCCACGGAGATGTTTGGCATATCAGGAGATCAGACCACATAAGACTGAGGCTACTTTTTGATTTGTTTATTGCACACTTCAGTAATCAAAATCAGATGACTTATATTCTTCCATATTAACAGAAGCGATAAACTTCACTGATACTATCCCAAGATCTGAGGTGCAATTCAAAGCTGAGCTGTATAAGGTGTAAAGTAGATTTCCTCTACCCTCACCAAGTACTGTGTAGCATAAATGAGAATAGAGAGGTCATGAACAAGGCATGGGTTAAATTAGTTAACATGCAATCCTTAATACATACACAGGACAATAGTTTGAGGGTAAAACACCTCTCTTGGACAGCCAAACTTGCAAATATAGCAAGTTCAACAAATGATAGGAAACATCTGCTGAGAATTGTTTTGCACAAGAAAAATAGGAACTGCATTTCATCACAGAGGAACTTTTTAACAGGTTAAGGTACCCTTCCCCATGGTAAAATCTATTATTCTAGACATATACCAGATTGGAATGTGACTAACATTTTTAAAAACATCCACTTTGGATTCCATAGCTTCTTTCTGATGAACATAAAGCCATATTGTGTCTTTGTCATCAGGCAGTGTTTCCTCTAGCTGGAGACTGCACTGAAGTTTAGAAATGCTCTACTGTTGTTTATAGCTCACTGGAATACCCTTTCGTGCCTTTATATTTATCAATGAATGTCCCAAGACAGGCAGCTTTCTACAAATGGCGAAAAGCCAATCAGTCTAGCACCCTACAGATTACTTATACACATGACAATAGCCTTTATTAGCATAATGTATTATAATGCATTATGTAGCAGGTCTCTGAGGTTTAGTAATCCCTGTCAGCAACCGGAATAAATGGAGATGGAGCCTCCAGGAGATGCATTTAGTTTTCAAGAACTACTAGCATCCAAACTCACACGTGCAGCATCTGAAACAAAATCTCATGAACAGTTTTTCATCACGATCATCTATGAAAGTCAAATGCATGAAGTGTACTTAAAAGATGGAAGAGAAGTTGAACTGAGCACTAGCAGTTTGATACTTTCCCCACTAGAACAAAGGTTTGGTGCATTCTGTCAGGCTAGTCAACAGCAGAAGTTTTTGACATGTAACCTGTTAGTATGCCTAGGTGCTAAACTTGCTAGCTGAGAATAGCAAGGTCCACATGGAAGCAAGCACAGCTAACTGCAAACAAGAGGGCTTTTGACTTGTTTTTAAGACACAACCAGATTGAAAAAAAATCACTGATTTTTTATATGTTGTAATCACAAGATAATGCTGCATGGGATGAAGGTGCCCCACAGTTACTGAACTCCTAAGTGCCAGCAACTCAGACCATGAAGCCAGAGAAGGGCTTCTCTTACTTTGCACTTGCCCTGCTCTTTGTGTCTTTTCCTTCAGCAACCCCCAGTGACCTTTAGCAGGAAGATGGTACTAATCTAGCTGGGGCTTTGATCTGATCTAATACAGCTGTACTGATTTGCTTACAGTGCTGTAAATTATTGACATATTTAGTAAAGTCTTTCAAATTTTACTGCTGTGTAGATCAGTTAAAGGCACATTACTCAATAACACAACCCTTCAGATGAGTTCAAATTATTAAAACAATTCCAGAAATGCTTACGCTGCTGTTGTTTGTACTGAGATAACACCATAAGAAATATTACTGTCTTTATTCAGGCCTGTGTCTTTTCTGTAGAGTTCCACTCTCCCATTTATATCTTCATTTTTTCCTGTCTTTTTAAAGCACTCATCATTGTTCAGTTAAATGATCAAAGGCTTTAACAAAACTACCTAATATCATGCTGCACTCATACCATAAGATAACAGAAAAATAAATCAACTCTCTTGCTAGAATTCCACAAGCAAAATCCTTACTTCCAAAGCATTAAAATACTTCAGCCTCAGTAGAGGTTCCAAATACAATATTCATTACTGTATAAAGCCATTGCAGCCAACTGCAATTGCAACCTGAAGCTGCAGTGCCATTATGCATGCATGTTGCTAGCCTGTGCAGAAACTTTTACTGTTTCATCTTCACCTCTTGAAATAAGGTATAACTGTAACCCTACCCAAGCTATCTGCTCTATTTTTAACCTTGTAGACATGCAGAAAGACATAGGGAGGAGAGGGAAACAGTGTTGAACTAAAAGAAAGTTAGAAGACATACTGTAACTAAATCTATTTCCTAAAAATTTTTCCTCATCTGAGACCTGGGAAGTTAGTGCCACTTACTCCAATAGACCCCATCTCTAACTGTGTGTGCCACACCCCCCATTTCACTGAACTACTTGCATCATTTCATCTGTTACCGTCTTCTCCGGTCTCTTCTCTGATCAGTCTTCACCCTTTACCAAGGTAAATCACAAACATCATACAGACCACCCAGCATCACCAAAGAGCTGAGAGTTCATCCTACTTTTAACATACCTCATCTGTAATAAAATCATTACCCAAAATACCTTCCCCCCTTTGCATGTTTAGTGTTACTGTTTTCCTGAAGTAGTTTTTGCCACCACATTTCAAATTTGTGTTTGAACTAATACAGAAACTTCTCAAGTTGCAAGTACTCTAGAAGTTAAGTTGCAAAGGGCTTGCATGATGCAAAACATTAATTTCTTTTCCCGAGGCTTTGTTCCCTGAAATGAGAATATCATCTGCTCATGAGAGAGCAAAATGAAACTAGTTATCAGCATTGCAACAAAAAAGATAGAAACATGCTGAGACAGAAATAGAAGGTCCTTCTGCTGCCATGCCTCACCTCCTCAAGCTGCTTATTCTTGAGCCTAGCAGCCACTGCTGTCTTTACCCACCAGCTGCTATGTCAGTGCTTTTTGAAGCCATTTATCAGCACTGACTCTTTGCTGATGATAGGAGAGGGTGGGGAGGACCGCAGTTTGCAACAGCTGTGGAGGAATGACTGCATACCACCTGGGTATAAGTCATTACTCCTGATTTGCAAACTGATCTTCCTCCTGTAAGACCTGGATGGAGATTGAGCATGGTCTTAAGGCCAGAAACAAACTTTAACTTCAAAGTGAACAACATTGAGAACAATGCTTTTGGTCAGTCATTTGTTTGTCTGTCTAACCATGTTAGCATACTCTTTTTAGGTGGTTGTTGAAGAAGGAAAGATTGCTCTGTTTGCCTGTTACTAGTAGTGGGCAGACTTTGCTGTTAGCATAGATGTATGGAATCTTAAAGCAGCAGTAACTACACTGCTTAGTAGGATGCTAATGGCATTGTGCAGTACAACCAGTTTAAAGGTCTTTGCTTTCATGAAAACAGCAAATTACAATTGAAGAGCGGACATCTTCGCATCTTATTTTGTTTATTGGACTTTGAAGGAAGAGTTAACAAAGTATGCCCTGTATTGTTGCTTTACAGGTCATTTTCAGTGAGAGTACAAATCACTACAGTCTGCCTAATGGTGTCTGCAACAATGAAAAGAATTTGCTCTGTCACTGTACAGTTACTTTTTAATAACTGGAATCTCAGCCACACAACCTTCTCTGCTCTAGATTGTCCCCTCTGCTTCAGTTGTACCCTGTATAAGTAGTTTGTCAGGGAGAGAGAAGTGCTGGCTAAAAGAAAAAGAATCCATGCTTAAGTTCATTTGTCTTCTGCTCTTACCTTCCTCCACTTACTACTCTCTGTATAGGTGATGGATATACAGTGCAAGACAGCATCAAATTAGTCAAATAAAACATTCAATTGTGAAAAATAAATAGTGGTTCCTCCCTAAGAAGTGGAGAAGAAAACTGAAGATGAGCCTTTTTGCAGGACAGTGAAATGTTTTGTTCACCACAACAGGCAGTCAGAACGTGAGACCTCCCACAGGCCACTCTGTCACAGACCTTGGGAAACTTCTGTGATCTGGGTACTCGTAGGCTAAACAGAAAGGACAGTCTCTGACACGTAGCCAAAGAATGAGAGTGAAATGCCAGCTGTCTTGGAGGTAGTGGGACTTCAAAGACTAGCTTTAAGAGCCATCTGTACATGTAGGGATGTGACAACTGCATAAAAAGAGAAGAGCTAGATACTGTGATACTAGCTTGTAGGCTGAATTATAAGAGAGTGGTTATAGAGTCTTATAGAGCCATCAGGTTGTACAGCCAGTGCACATAATTTACCTGGTACACTGGTTTGTAACCTGATAAGAGGAGCTCCAGAGCATTTAAGGTCACAAGTTTTGCCCCATTCAGTCAGCTTGCTTCCTTAACATCTGCTTTACTGTGACAATAACAGGAAGAAAAAGCTTTTTTTAATCACAAAACCAAAGCTAAATAACAAAGTAGGTCAGATCTCTGGGTCTTGGAATACTTCAAACCTTTAGTTACTAAAACATTTGATAATCTGTTTAGGAATATGGGTGTCTTAATCAGAACAAGTTCTGTAAAAATCAAGTTTCTTAATGTTTTTGTAACATTTAGACCATTCACATACAACCATTTGCAGGCACCTTAAAAATTCTTTTTATGTGCGTCAGTCTTGGTATGTAAAGCACATGAAGAGTAGGAATTGTTTCTGAAGTTAACATGCCTCTCATGTACACTTACGTACTCTGTGTATTTGAATGCAAGCTAAGTATAAATATACTGTATATTTATATGCAAGCTAAGTAGAAATATACTCTATACCCATCAGTGAAATTTTAGACCAGGAGGGCCTATCTTTTGTTGTGCTTATTTTCTGAAATATAAACATTTCTTAATTTTGTTTTTCCTAGCTCTGTTTTGTGATGTTTTGGACGCCAAACGTGTCAGAAAAGATTTTAGTTGACATAATTGGAGTAGACTTCGCTTTTGCAGAGCTGTGTGTTGTTCCTTTGCGCATCTTCTCCTTCTTTCCAGTTCCAGGTAAAAAAAAATTAAAACTGTAACATCAAAACCAAACCAGCTGTGAGGCATGGTCAGAATCTGGCATTTCTGTACATACAAGAGTGGCTAAATGCATGCCTAGCATAAGTAACACCTTTTTATTGAAGCTGGTGTAGACAAAGACTATTTACATCAGTAGTCAAGATGCAAATATTGCAGTAAGAGCTGTCTGTCATTAGGTGGATTCCTGACTGTCAGAAGTAAAGCCTGAATTCTGTCTGTTGTAGTTGACTGAGAACACACACATGAATGGCAGTGTGCCAAGGCTGAAATTAACTATTTGGAATAGTTTCTAGGTCTGCCTCCACAGTAACATCACCTCCATTAGTCTCCCCTTCTGATGCCAGACTCAGCAGCTCTTTCAGATATCATCAGAGCATAAACAATATAGAATAAAGATAATGCCCCTATTCAAGAGAGAGACAAGTTTGACAGTCATAATCAAAATGTTTCCCCTCAAAAACTTTCTAACTTCCATAATTAAGTGCTGCATCATGTAGTGTTTTCTGCTTATATGACAAGACAGTTTTGTAATAAAGGTAAAGTACAAATACAAGAATAGGTTCATGTAGATACCTTTTTCTGTGCCTAGCTGTTACACCATGTACCACACAGGAACTAGAGGGAAAATTTTCCTTGGTATGCTTTCTCTTCAGGGAAGGGGATAGTGTGTTTTTAATGAAGAAAACAGAATGGACCATCTAACAAATTGGTCGTAAGAGAGCAGCTCTTAGGAGAGATTGCTGTCCATAACTGGCTTCTTTTTTGGTGTTTGGTTTTTTGTTGGTTTTGGTTTTTTTTTTTCAAAAACCAGTCTATTAAAGCAATTTGCATACAAGATCCACTTCGTTTCTAGTAGAGTTTCCCAATGTGCAAAGTTACCAGAAACAAGTTTCACCATGGTTATTTCTGAACAGTGCTCTCTGCATGAAAAAGCTTCATATGAGATGACTGACACTTTTTTTACTACTCTTGCCTCTCTTTCTCCCCATCCCCTCCCCTTCCCCTGTTTATGAACAGTGACTGTCAGAGCGCACTTGACTGGTTGGCTGATGACTCTGAAGAAGACATTTGTGTTGGCACCCAGCTCTGTGCTGCGAATTATCGTCCTCATCGCTAGTCTCATTGTGCTGCCTTACTTGGGGTAAATCATTATTCTCCACAGAGCTGAAGGGTTTGCTTTCCTCCTCATTCCTTTTCCCTATCACTTGATAGCTGAATTTGCATAGCTCAGAATATTTTCCCCAAATACTAACCATAATATAAAGCCTAAATAGCATCAATGTCTGGAAAAGAAACATTTACGGATTTACAAGTGTGACTGCTCTAGACAGGCACAATAGTGATGTCCCCTTTGAAAAAATACACAAATGTCAAAGAGGCAAAAAAATGTCCTAGAGGGAATTTATTTCCATGTTATAAAATGCACTGTTAAGAAAACTAATGGAAGAATATCTTGTTTATAAGTTAAATAATCTATTCTACAGCACTCCGTACAAGACTTTAAATTCTTAGTCCATAATTTGATTCAGAATGTGGTTCTTTTACTAAACAGTGAAGCCATTAAGAAACAGAAAATTTCTTTCAAATACCAGTTATTCTCTTTGCCAGAGTATTATGTCTTCGAAGGAAGTATTTCTAACAACAGATTGGTTCTATATGCCAGTGAAAATATAGTTATGAATTATTCATTCTCACACAACCATGACTACTTTCTTTTTATGCCACCCACAGAGTTCATGGAGCCACTCTTGGAGTAGGATCCCTTCTAGCTGGTTTTGTAGGAGAATCCACCATGGTTGCAATAGCAGCCTGTTACGTCTATCGGAAACAGGTAAGAATTGGGCTCTGCAGGATCTTGTGAAAGCAGTTGATAAATATAATGGATTTGAGTTCAAATTAAGAGTACACTTTTGAAATACAACTCCACGGCATCTCCATTTACTGAATTTGGTTAGCTTCCCTGTGCGGTCTCAAAAGTGTGCAACTTGGGAATTCTTTGGGTTGAAATAAAACAAAAAGGTGCCTTCCAGCTGCTAGTGGACATTCAGGCCATGGGACACACTGCTTTGAAGTAAGCCTCTTGCTCCTCAAAACATGTGTATCATGGATATCATGACCTTACCACCACCTATTTTGCACTGTAGATCAGCTACTACCATGCAACATGTCTTCTTTATGTAGACAAAGGAACCACTCATCCAAGCTTACTATATCCATGTGTATGTGTATATATATAGCTGTATGTATACTTTTATTTCTTTATGAAACCAGTTCTGCTGAAAATGGACAAAAGTACAGCAGGTTGGGTTTTTTTTGCCATCTAAAGTGGCTTAAAACAAGATATACTTCTGCAGCAGTAGAGGATAAGAGCTCATAAACAGGTGAGGATTTCTCATAGGCATACTTTTACATATGTCACACACTGCAGTCCTGCATATACATAAGACTAGTGAAACATGGCTTTCAAAGAATATTCCACTAAATTAAGTCAAACACAGGACAAGTATTGGCAGGGTGACTGGGTACATCTCAGTACCTGCATGTTGTGTCCTTCCAGTTATGTTTTCAAGGCACTGTATAGGGCACCAGGTCCTTTTTACTAAGTGAAGATGCCCACCACTTCTGTTTTTAGCAAAAAAAAACTGCGGAAGGTGGAGTATCTAAAAGCCTTATGTTGCAACAAACTAAAACTAGTTTTGATGTATATTGACAGTTCAGGCCATGGCAATAGACCAAAGTGTACAAGGTTCGTAAGAAAATAGAAGACCTTGATCTCTGTCATGTTTTTCTTGAGAACCAATGAGTAAAACCTGTAGGCACTGAAACGGCTGTGATGGCCTGTGGTTTCACAACATGTATCTGGTTGGACTAACCCCCTCACTGATTATTTGTTAAAGTGGTAGCTCATAGAGTGTTCCTGGCTAAGGACATGGTGCTTAATTTTTTTCAGTGATGAAGGCAGGTAGTAGGAATCGTAACTGTGCCAACCTAATTTATTCCTTTACCAGAGTTAGTATGTAGCTGACAGCAACATCTCAACAGACAGTGTGACAGTGGCAGAGCCAGCCAGTAGCTGTATACACCAACTTGTTTTCACCTACAGTGGTAATAAGTGGGCAGTGTTTGAGAGCTGCAAATCGAATGTTATGTAGACACCTCTGAAATTTTGAAACTCTGATATGCCCAACTCAGCTGAATCATTAATACCTGTGGGGGATTTTTTTGTCAGCTGTACAAGTGTTTTCTGTAAAACTAATCAGCCTGCTGAGAAATGGGTAACAAGGAACAGATGCTTCAACTTGTTTTGTAGTGAGGTTGAATGCTTCTTAGCTTTGCTAATCCAGGACATCCTGGATGAATCATAGGACTCTTGAATGCCCTCCTGCTCCTGCTAGCCAAAAATACTCTAATATTAATTGGTCTTGTTGGTGTGGGGAATCACAGTGGATCAGCAATACCAAGAAAAGCCAGAATGCTCACAACTATAAAATTCCTGGTTTGACATTTGAGAAATTAGGTTGTCACCTTTGTCTTCCCTGCCTAAAGCATCTTATCTTCTCTCATATTGTGTTTGCTTTTCTTTATTTTTTTTAATAAAAACTCTGTGATGTAAAAGATTCCAGATGCTCTCTTCCCTCCAGTCATGCTGGAGCCTGTTTTGCATGTTGCTTAGCATAAGAAATGCCTCTATTATTGGATTTATGTTAGAAAGGAGAAAACTGAACCCCAGTAAGGTTATGGAAACGTTCTGAGTTAAGCCAGTTTATTAGTGACAAGCCACAAATATGACACAAATATTCTAGCTTTTAATAACACCATCTCGCTTCTCCCAGTGCCCGGAGTTTGTAGGACTGTGTCCATGCACCACTTACTGATAGGTTTCTGAATGCTTGTTTCAATCTAGAAAAAGAAGCGGAATGAGAATGAAACAGCTACTGAAGGTGAAGACTCTGCAATGACCGACATGCCTCACACAGAGGAAATGACAGACATCGTAGAAATGAGAGAAGAGAATGAATAATAAATGGGATGCAATTGTTCTCTGCAGGGACGATTGGAGTGACACTTCAGCATCTTGTCGTCTCTCATATGTTTTTGTTTGTTCGTTTTTATTTTTGTAATAAAGAGGCCTTGATTTAAAAGGTTTCAGATAAATTCTCTAGCATACTGAGTATGCTCTCACTGATGAGGGACCTAAAAAGAGGTCTTTGCTTTTTTTTTTTTTTTTTTCCAATTGAATTTGTTTTCTCACTCCATGCAAACATAAAAGATACAATTGCATCACTGTAGAGTCTTCCTTACTTATGCATCCACCTTCTCTGGACAATCTGCATTTGTCAACCAAAGCCCTGCTCTCCGTGCGTGTGTGTGTGTGTGTGTTTGTGTGCGCGTGCATGCGCTTGCACGCTCACACATGCACACATGCCACTGGCTCAATGCTACTGCCATAATCCTATTCCCTCCCCTCTTTCCTTTTCCTTCCTTTTCTTTATGAGAAATGTAAAGGAAAAGAAGTTTGGAATACAGAGCTTTATTTTACTTGCTTGAAAATGACTTTGCTACATAAACTAATATACTATGGTGAACTATATCTTTTTGTTTGGCCTCATCACTAGAGATTATACTGCACAGGGTACAAGACGGAGGAATGTGTAAGTCTCCACATACAAAGTGGAGAAAAACAGGTTCCTCTCTCATGTTAAAAGTGTGTGGATGTGTATATACACACACAGGTACATAGACAGAGACATATATATATATTTATATATATATATGCGTACAATAAATGAAATACACACGGGACAAGAACTCTATTTAGCTTTCGTTCCATCAGAAAGTTAGTAATCTTTTGAAAATGTAGACATTTAATTCAGAATTGTCTTGAATCGTTAAGCCCCACCTTACGTATAATTTTTCTTTAGAAAAAAACCCATGCACTTTCCTCTTGTGAAGAGGGTGATGGCAACTGAAAGACTTTGACTGTATTTGAATTTAAAAAAATAAATAATGACAAGCTTTACCAAAGTTCTTGTCCACTGATTTAACTTTAATTTTAATGGTTGATTTGCTCTATATACTTATTTCTGGTGCCTATATATTTTTAAAAAATCAGATAAGGTATGCAGGATACCTTGGTATATCGCATTACTACACATAGCTCCATGAAATTTTTTCTATAAAGATGTACACATACTCACACACGTGTCTGTGTATATGTATATATACATATACACACAAACACACATATATGTATGTTTTGCTATAAAATATTTACCTATGCAGTAGATCAAAATCCATTTGGTGAAGCTCAAGTACTGATGGTCCTCCAAGTTGCTAATTAGGGACTTTGATAATGTGTTAGCTCTCAAGGCAAGAGTTGCGTGGAAGTGGGAAGCTGCTCCCATCAGTCAGCAAGTGCTGTACTTGGAGAAGGCGGCAGATGCTGTGTGGTTGTGGTTGGAGTGGGCCTTAAATAACAGGGCACGAAGTCGGGTGGGCAACTTGTATCAGGTGGAAATGAAGCCTGTATAAGAGATGACTGAACCAGAGAGATTTTGGGTGCCACGGCGATGGCTGCAGCAGCAGCTTGTATTTCTGTGCTGTGTTTGGCTGCGGGGCAGCATTCGTTACTGGTCTGTAGTAGCTTGGTTTCTTTCAGATTTAACCATGCCAGAGTCTAGAAACCATTATCCTCCATGATATATCCATAAGTCAGTTAATTTAAACCTTATTTAGTAAAAGTATATTTTTATAAGTTATGGAAATGATTATTTAATTGTGGACAAATTCTGTTTCTAGATTTATTTGCCAGGTAGTCCCAGCACTCAGAGAACTGATAAAACTAAACATTACTTTAAATGTTATATCAATATATGTGTATGTAGACATACACATGTGTATAAATATATATATTGTATATTATGTACATTTATTTTAAGCTACAATACATTTCCTATTTTTCCAACTTCAGCTAAAAATGTCTCTAAAAAACTACGGTTGGCTAGTAACCAGTTACGGCCATCATGAAAGGCATTGTATCAATGAACTTTACATCTTACTGTAAACATTTGTACCAATTTGTTACATGTACAAATGCAATCGGAAAAAAATGTAGAAATTATTGTGTTGAATGGCAGATTTGCAAAATCAGTCATGGTTAATGAGCAGTGGCACTAGGACGGTGACTAAATCCAGCACCCACACACTTTCTGTGCCACCACAAGGTTGTTCTCCTTGTTTCTGATGGTAGTTTAAATAAAACCCCTCAGACAAATTAACTTTGTGCAGTATGTAGACTGTACACATTCATGAATACAGGCTCTCAAACAGTCATATGTATATAATGTGTATATAGACTGTTACAGATCGCAGTGGCCATTTGAGGTCTTCTCTGTTCACGTAGTTTCGGTTTCTCCAGTACGTTTGTATCTAAGTCCACAAGATGCAGTTTTTCAGGAACTGTAGAGATAAAGCAAGAAAATATTTTTGTGTAATATTTCTTTTGGTACATGATTAAAATTCAAATGGCAGTATTTTTGAAGAATTTTGAGCATTACTGATGTAGGTTTCAAGGTAGTAATTGCACCAAAAAGTAAAAATTTAAAAACAAATTATATGAAACACTGAAGCTTTTGCTTTAGATAGAAAAGGAACAGATATAAAAAAAACTGAATTATTGGTCATACAGAGTTAAGCTAATGGTATTGTAAAAGGTAAATCTTCAACTGTGTGGGTAATACTTAATAGTCCCTTACTTTGCAAGATACCGAATGAGCACAGGAGTGGTGGGATTTGGGCAAGAATTTGAGCAGTGTCATAAGGATGCACACATCGCATCTCTTTCTGCTTCCTGCAGGTCGTGTATTTCTTTACCTTGCTCTACTGGGTTAACAAAACCCGCCGATGTTTCTGCAGTAGGTGAGTCCCAGCCAGCCCCTCTTGCCGACCAGGGTCCCCCCTGCGTGGGCAGGCAGGGTGCTCGGCGGGAAGGCGCGTGTCTGAGGAGCGTCCTGTCCCCCACAACCTCTGGCTCTGCTGCTGGGCCCTGTTGTCGGGAGCTTCAGCGACTGCCTGAAACCTCACTGCTCTGACTCCCAGCCAGTGGCAAAATCATCTGGGCTGGTGAAGCAGACAGTCTGGTGGGTTACAGGCTGGGAGCGGGCAGCTGTCCTCTTCAGCTGAAGCCCCAGTCCGCATCACAGAGACATTCCAGTGGCTCTGTCAGGCAGATGCTGGGCACGCCCTGACCTGCACCTCTTCCCAAAAGGATTTTTTTGAGTTCTGGTAACATGGCTTAGCTCTCTTGTGTTATTGCTTATGAAGTGGCTATCTGTGATAAATAGAAACGTGTTCAGTTTCTGTGTTGGAGAGCCAGAGCACACTCATCTCAATGGATTCACATAGACACTTGGTCTTTCCAGACTTTCTTAAGAATTACTGAATTATACAGCTGAAGTTACAATAAAAAGAGGAACAAAGTTCATCTGCATCCTACATCTTACATTTCAGAACAGCTCACACAGTAAGAAATAAGAACAAGACACCAATAAGCTGTGAATTAATGTTCCTTGGCTTTTAATACATACGTAAAATTGTGTTAACTTGTCTTGAGTTTTCCTTTTGCAGAATTAACAGAAAACAGTGGGGACTTTTTCCCCCCTCACTGCCCTAAGCAGGTCTCTCACGCTTACCAAGCAGTGGACTTGATGGAAAAAGCTCTGCATGTCCCAGCCAGTGCTTGAGGCCATTTGGGCTCAGCTGCGGGTTCCCAGGCGTGGGGCAGCCCCGCTCCCCGTCCCCCTGGCACAGCCATGCTGGGCAGGAGCGCTCATTTGCCTGCTTGTTAGATAGAGCCACCCTGAGTGAGAGGATTGGGTGAGTAACAGAGAAGTCTTTTGTTTTGTACTCATTTTGCTGCTAAATATTTCCTTTGAGGGGGAGAGATTTATATCTGGCTCTTGCTCGGTGTTTTGCCGAATCTGCAGCCAGAGAGGGAGCAGCCCAAGACTGAGGGCGAGCTGATGAATGCAGCCGATTCAGGGCAGGCCACGACGCACGAACAGAAACCTTTTGAAGGCGAGAGCGCCTTCTTTTGTGGGATGGCGCCTCGTGCTTAAAAAGAAGGGAGAAAGGATGCTTTCAGGCCAGGGTGCCCAGAGTCTCCAGGCATAGTTTTGCCTTGGGCTGCAAGGTGGCAACAGGAACAGGGCATCCTGTGGCTCCAGCATCCCGGCCCTGCCAGCATCATCCTCGGCAAAATGCAGGACAAGGCAGGGGTTAGTGAGGTGGCAGTATTGACTCTGTCTGTCACTGAGATTTTGTGGTTGTGGCACGGTCAGCATGGGTTTGAGTGCAGCTGGATGTAACCTGAGCATAGTTGCAGTATCCATTAGTGTATTGGAAAGCCATGCATATGTACATGAGTGTGCGTATGAAAGTGTCACATAGGCATTTTTATTACGGCCTTTATATAGTTCATTGGAACAAGGATTCAAGTCTAAACATGATCTTAATGTGGGACTAATACTAAGCAGTTAAAAAAAAAACCCTTGCAATTTAAAGCTACATAAAAGAGTAAATAAAACACAATTTCAGTAGGCCTTATACCAGTAAGCTAAAGCATGATTTAGATCGGTAAGCTGGAATGGGAGAGGACATGTTGAAAAGCTTATGGGTCTTGTATATTCATCCTAAAGACAACATTGCATGGCATGGAGACGAGTGAATCACAGGGTAGAAAACCAGAGCTGTGGCTGCTGCCATTTCTCTTTCAGCTGCCCTGGAGAGGGACTGAAGTGTGAGGAGCAATGAGTCCATAAGACACCACTTCTAAGTATTTTGGTTTCTGAGTGGTGGAGCCATCAGAGAGACAAGTATGAAACATCTTGGATTATTCAAGCATAAATAAACCAGCATGCAGGTTTTATAACATGCAGAGAGAAGGGACTACATAGCTTGCTCTTTCCGAGTAACTGTCAGGGCTGCATTAGGGAAATGTCATATAAATATTACTTAAACACAAAATTATCACAATTTTGGAATCAGACTGGCATTTCCCAAATAGTAACATAACCATAAAATGTTAGGATTCCCTTTCCTCATTCCTGTTTGGTTTTTTACTAGAATTCAAGTGCAGAAGCCATAGTTTGGGAAGGGAGCAAGCTCCTGTGGAGAGGGGCTGCGGTACATAGCAGGCTATGGGGACTCATGGCAGAGCCCTGATGGGAAGAGGTGCTCCAAATACATTCTGCACCTTGCAACACATTGTATTCAATTGCAGCCTGACAGTGTCATGAAATAAGGCAGAACTGTCAGTTTAGCAGCAAACTCAGTCCAAGCGTGGTCGTGACCTGCAGCATCACTGCAGAGTAGCGGGAGGATGTGGGGTGCAGGGGGAGCCCTGGCTCTCCACTCGGGTTTGGACAGCTTGTGTAGATTTGCTATGGAGAGCCAAGTTCAGTTGTCGGTGAGTAGATGCACTCCTCAGCAAAACCATTGCCAGAATTCTCAGTAATTGGCATCTTCTGAACAAAAAGGCCAGAGACAAAATACGGGGGCAAAGAGATCAAGCTGTAAGCCCGGCTTGGAGTGCATACTCACACAGAAGGGCATTTTGGCTGCAGCTTGTGCAAGGTAATTGTACGGTTAGAGAGCAAGCTTCAGCCTCGGCATTTCATAATCAAGATACCCACTCTATCTCAGAACAATTGTGGTATATTTTTAGGTGCTCTTTTGTCTTTGTAACCCTGAGGGGAAGGTTTTCCTCAGTATTCCCAAGCCTTGTCACTGCTCAGATCAATTTATTAATTTTACCTCATCATTATTTTCTGTCATTCCTAGTTCAACATCTTCAGACGTTTCCTTAATTTCTTCTAAAGGCTCCTGCTAGGCTTATTTTGTCTGTTGACATTTTGAGAAGGAAAATGTAACCGTCATGCTGACTGAATGTCAAGTAATGCCATGATTAAAAAGTAGCTTCCAACAAAACTCTTCTTTGACGGACTGTTTTTTACTTTCCATTTGCTAAGCTGAAAAGGAGAGTCAAGAAGAAGAAGGAATTGGGGGGTGAATTTATTTAAAATCAAGAATTAAAAGAATTAATTCATTACTTAACGCCAGCTACTACTTTGTGACTTTCTAATGATCCATAAGACCACGACCCAAACGTTTCCAGCAAAGTTAGCACTGCATCCCCAGGGCAAGCACAGAATAGTTTGAAGCACTGGGAAACAGATTTCATGTATTTCACAACTAAATATATAACAATGAGTTGGAGAGCCTGATTAACAGGGACAGTCCCTTAAGTTTAAACTTCAGCTGGACGTGAGCAGCCTGATCCAATGTCTGAGGTGGCCGTGCTTTGAGTGGGAGGGCTAGATGACTGCCTGCAGTCCCCTTCTGACCTAAACTGTTCTCTGATTCAGTCAGGAAGCTAGAGAGGTCCCTTCATCTGAAGGGACTTGAGACTGCTTGCCTTGTTCAGGCTTTCAGTTCAGGGTTGAGAGACAGTGCCTCCTAGGGCTCTACTATGTAGAGCAAAAATCTGAGCTGCACAGATTCTTTTGCTGATGACAAAACTTTAATATTGCAGAGCCAGCTGTAAAGTACCCTCCCACCCTCTGGGAGCCCACAAGGAGGGCAAAGCGAAAATAAGCTATTGTATCTGCAGATGAAATATTTGAGTACTGTCCTGCACTTTTTCAATTAACTCTCTAACCGCCTGAAACCAGCAAGCAATTGCAACTATTACCTGCTGCCTCCATTTCCATGTGCATCATTCAGCATTTAAAAAAAAAAGCTACCCTATCTAATAACTCCCCTTTGTAATCAAGGTAATGCAAAGTAGATACTTACATTTATGTAATGAAACAGCTTGGCCTGTCTACAAATGAGCGCATATAAATCCTCTCTTAGGAGAGGATGTATTTTTAAATTGGAACAAGAGCTTTATCCATAATTCAGCAAAAGCACAACAGAAAAGCAAAGAAAAAATTGCAGAACTGAAAAAAAAATAATTGCAATTGCATTCATTTTTAATATGAATACTGCCTGGGTGAAAAGTGTATGGTACACATGCAGAAAACAGCAGAGCCTGCATTGCTGAACTTTGTAGTTTGCTCTGCAAAGCAGCACTAATGTAACTCTGCTTCTGTGTCATATTATGATAAACAAAAAATCCTTCCTAAGCTATAATGAAACAATTGGGAGGCTACAGGCAATAAGCTTTCTGGTTACTTAGGTCAACTGATTTTTATC